TCCAGGACAAATCTGTTTGTTTTCCTAGTAGTCCATGGTATTCTCATATTATATATAATACATAATATATATATATGGAGAGACGACTAAAAAAAATAATGAATGAGTGGGTGAGTGAGTGAAAATACTCCCTTGTAGAGAGGAGCGCATCGCTCCGTGAGCCCTTGCGTTGGGTGAAACAGTGGTTTACCTGGCCGTGGCACTGCGTGAGAGGGTGCTGGTCCAAGTCTCCCTCCCGCTGCAGGATATCTGAGGGCCCAGGAGTCCAAGGTGCTGCAGGGCCAGGAGTGTGAGCCCCACTCACAGCCGTGGCAGGTGGGCTTGTTCCAGGGCGTCCGGTTACTCTGTGGAGGTGTCCTCATCGCCGACAACTGGGTCATCACAGCTGCCCATTGTAAAAAACCGTGAGTGCATGTCCGGGCAGAGGTGGACAGAGGCCCACGGGGAGGGGCCTGGGGTTGTGACTCAGGGGGTGGGAGGCTATGGGCTCAGACACCTGGGTCTGAGGGAGGAGAGGCAGCATATAAGGACTTCAGGAGGGACTGGAGATCTAGACTCCTGGGTTTGAAGTAGTAATTAAAAGTCAGGACTGTTGGGCCTGGGAGTCAGGACTCCTGGGTCTGAGGGTGGAGTGGGCTGCTGGCCTGGTATCCCAGATCTGGGATTCCAGTCTCTCGTCACCGTTACAGGAAGTACACAGTTCGCCTGGGAGAACACAGTCTGCAGAGTAAGGAAGGACAGGAGCAAGAACTGGCCGTGGCCCAGTCCATCCCCCACCCCTGTTACAACAGCAGCAGTGAGAACCACGACCACGACCTGATGCTCATTCGACTACGAGGTCGGGCCTCCACGGGATCCAAAGTGAAGCCCATCCCGCTGGCCCACCGATGCCCCCAGGATGGCGAGCAGTGCACCATCTCCGGCTGGGGAACAGTGACCAGCCCTCGAGGTATCGGGCTTGGCCAGTCTTGGGAGGGAGAGGAGGAGCTGGTTGGCCTAGTGGACCACAAGACATCATTAGGAAGGCTTGGCCACCAGGAGGAGACAGAGAAAGGAAATTGATTATATCAGTCATTTAGCTATTGAAAATCTTGAAGCTAGAACGTTAGTACGAACTGTGGAGGAAAGGCAAGAAACCAAACGACTGCTTAGCAAGTTGTAAAACACAAACCAAAAAAGAGAGAGAGAGACAGAGACAGAGAGATAGAGAAAGAAAGAAAGAGAGAGAGAGAGACAGAGA